CCTTCCTTCCGAGGAGTGGCTGGTGGGTTTGAACCGCCAGCCTTCTAGTTAGCAGTCAAGTGCCTTAGCCACTATGCTACCAGAGGTGAAAACAATGACTCCATATAGAAAACAGTGAGCTGCAATCCATGGGCCATGGACTGGAGGGACAAGAAGGGACAGGACTCAGGAGCCTGCCGGGCCAGGCATGCCCACCCCCCAACTCCTCAAGCAGAAGAGTCCCCTAATTTGAATTCTACCCAGGCAAAAGCAATCGGAAGGAAGGACGACATCAAGGAGGCATTATGGACTTCCTTTCAGCTGCAGTCAACACACGTAGGTCAAGGCCATATGTGCTCTCAAGCGGTAGGAAGTAAGGGTGCCTAAGGCATGGGCCTCCCCTCCTAGACTAAAACTGGGCCCACCTGGGCTGTGACACTAGCACTTCTGATGTAAACCTGCCTGGCAGCTCCCTGATAAGGAACAGGGCCTAATGGCTCCAAGAACTGAGCTCTGTGCTTGGCAAGGCCTTTGCAAACCATCTAAGCAGACAAAGGTGCAAGTTGGCACTTCATGCAGATCTCAAACCCAAACACTACAAAGAGCTATCCTTCACCCCATTTTCTAAATTCTCCCTCTCCATGGTAAGATCAAGAATGCCCCCACACGAGGAAAACATATTCCAAACACTGAGAGGGCACATGAGAAATATTTTACCAGGTATTAAAACCGCAGCAAAAGCAGCCCTGGTGGCGCAGTGGTTAGGCCATTCTTCTGCTAACCAAAAAGTCAAGGTTCGAACCCACCAGCTGCTCTGCGAGACAAAAATAAGGCAGTCGGCTCCTGTAAAGATTTACAGCCTTGGAAACCCAATGAGGCAGTTCTACACTACACTACAGGGTCACTATGAGTCAGAATCAACTCAATGGCAGTGGGTTTGGTTTTTTGTTTGAAACTGCAGCAGTATGCCATGTTATCTGACATGACTTTAAAAACACTGAGTAAGAAATATTAAGTTTTTTAAGAAAACAGAATTTCTATTAAAAAATAATAATTTGGATTTGTATTAGCCCCTATCTGCTCAAGAGTTTCACAGAGGAGATGGCAACTGACCTGAGGTGCCAAGAGCAGAGGTAGGAGGGCATGTCCCAGAGGACAGAGGATGTGTGAGATGCGGGGTGTGAGCCAAACACATGCTGATCACATGTTTGACATGTCAGTCCATGTCCCACCCTCATGATCTGCATCTATCTGTGTTAGCACTTGGTTAATATTTCCCTTCAACACACATCTCTTTCTAAATCTTAAATAAATACTATTGTGAAGACAAAGAAAAGAACCAGGTTACTGACAAGACACACAAATCTCACGCCACCGGGACACACTTGCTGCCGCCAGGATTAGTGGGAAAGGCAGCAGTGCTGGAGAGTGGCTCAACGAGTCGCAGGAAGGTGTCAGACCTGGGAACTTCACGGCATTCCAGATGACGACCGTGTTATCCACGCTGCAAGAGGCCAGCCAGGCGTCATGGGGAGACCACGCGACATCCATGACATCTGGAAAAAAAAGACCAGGCTCTCTTAGGCGGCAGTTCGAGAACTAGACGCACGTGGGCAGTCAGCATCACCTCTGTCTAACAGCTGGGCCAGCAGCTCGGGGTTTGTAAGTCTAGGGATACTCAGCCTGGAACCATCAGAGCTAGTCGTCAGTTTTGTTTTTTCCCCCAAAATCAATCTGAAAAATATTCCCCAAAAAGCTCTTTTAATTGACCATCAAGTTTAAAGCATCTAATTGACCCTGCCCCACTCCTTTAACAGGTGAAGCAACTAAGAACCTGAGTTGAGAGGAGTGTATCACACATTTGGCCTCTGACACCTACAAGGTCTCTGGCCTTGAGCACATGTGAGCTTACATCACCAATCACAACTGCCCCTTCCTCAGAGAGCCTCTTGGGCATTAACTGAGACCCTGTAGGAAAATCATGTAGCAGAATGCCCACCACACAAGAAGAGCTCAATAAAGAGTTGCTGAATAAATGAGTGGAAAGTCATCTTCAGGCCTTCACCTCCTCATGAACCAGGTCTCGTCTCCAAGACACT